TGACTGTGGTACTAGACTATATAGTGTTGCAGTACCATGACTGTGGTACTAGACTATATAGTGTTGCAGTACCATGACTTTGGTACTAGACTATATAGTGTTGCAGTACCATGACTGTGGTACTAGACTATATAGTGTTGCAGTACCATGACTGTGGTACTAGACTTAATATAAACAGGTGTCCTGACCATATAGTGTTGCAAATACCATGACTGTGGTACTAGACTATATAGTGTTGCAGTACCATGACTGTGGTACTAGACTATATAGTGTTGCAGTACCATGACTGTGGTACTAGACTATATAGTGTTGCAGTACCATGACTGTGGTACTAGACTATATAGTGTTCCAGTACCATGACTGTGGTACTAGACTATATAGTGTTGCAGTACCATGACTGTGGTACTATACTTAATATAACAGGTGTCCTGACCATATAGTGTTGCAGTACCATGACTGTGGTACTAGACTATATAGTGTTGCAGTACCATGACTGTGGTACTATACTTAATATAACAGGTGTCCTGACCATATAGTGTTGCAGTACCATGACTGTGGTACTAGACTATATAGTGTTGCAGTACCATGACTGTGGTACTAGACTATATAGTGTTGCAGTACCATGACTGTGGTACTAGACCATATAGTGTTGCAGTACCATGACTGTGGTACTAGACTATATAGTGTTGCAGTACCATGACTGTGATACTAGACTATATAGTGTTGCAGTACCATGACTGTGGTTCTAGACTATATAGTGTTGCAGTACCATGACTGTGGTACTAGACTATATAGTGTTTTCAGTACCATGACTGTGGTACTAGACTATATAGTGTTGCAGTACCATGACTGTGGTACTAGACTATATAGTGTTTCAGTACCATGACTGTGGTACTAGACTATATAGTGTTGCAGTACCATGACTGTGGTACTAGACTATATAGTGTTGCAGTACCATGACTGTGGTACTAGACTATATAGTGTTGCAGTACCATGACTGTGGTACTAGACTTAATATAACAGGTGTCCTGACCATATAGTGTTGCAGTACCATGACTGTGGTACTAGACTATATAGTGTTGCATTACCATGACTGTGGTACTAGACTATATAGTGTTGCAGTACCATGACTGTGGTACTAGACTATATAGTGTTGCAGTACCATGACTGTGGTACTAGACTATATAGTGTTGCAGTACCATGACTGTGGTACTAGACTATATAGTGTTGCAGTACCATGACTGTGGTACTATACTTAATATAACAGGTGTCCTGACCATATAGTGTTGCAGTACCATGACTGTGGTACTAGACTATATAGTGTTGCAGTACCATGACTGTGGTACTAGACTATATAGTGTTGCAGTACCATGACTGTGGTACTAGACTTAATATAACAGGTGTCCTGACCATATAGTGTTGCAGTACCATGACTGTGGTACTAGACTATATAGTGTTGCAGTACCATGACTGTGGTACTAGACTTAATATAACAGGTGTCCTGACCATATAGTGTTGCAGTACCATGACTGTGGTACTAGACTATATAGTGTTTTCAGTACCATGACTGTGGTACTAGACTTAATATAACAGGTGTCCTGACCATATAGTGTTGCAGTACCATGACTGTGGTACTAGACTATATAGTGTTGCAGTACCATGACTGTGGTACTAGAATATATAGTGTTGCAGTACCATGACTGTGGTACTAGACCATATAGTGTTGCAGTACCATGACTGTGGTACTAGACTATATAGTGTTGCAGTACCATGACTGTGATACTAGACTATATAGTGTTGCAGTACCATGACTGTGGTACTAGACTATATAGTGTTGCAGTACCATGACTGTGGTACTAGACTATATAGTGTTGCAGTACCATGACTGTGGTACTAGACTATATAGAGTTGCAGTACCATGACTGTGGTACTAGATTATATAGTGTTTCAGTACCATGACTGTGGTACTAGACTATATAGTGTTGCAGTACCATGACTGTGGTACTAGACTATATAGTGTTGCAGTACCATGACTGTGGTACTAGACTATATAGTGTTGCAGTATCATGACTGTGGTACTAGACTATATAGTGTTGCAGTACCATGACTGTGGTACTAGACTATATAGTGTTGCAGTACCATGACTGTGGTACTAGACTATATAGTGTTGCAGTACCATGACTGTGGTACTAGACTATATAGTGTTGCAGTACCATGACTGTGGTACTAGACTATATAGTGTTGCAGTACCATGACTGTGGTACTAACTATATAGTGTTGCAGTACCATGACTGTGGTACTAGATTTAATATAACAGGTGTCCTGACCATATAGTGTTGCAGTACCATGACTGTGGTACTAGACTATATAGTGTTGCAGTACCATGACTGTGGTACTAGACTATAATAGTGTTGCAGTACCATGACTGTGGTACTAGACTATATAGTGTTGCAGTACCATGACTGTGGTACTAGACTATATAGTGTTGCAGTACCATGACTGTGGTACTAGACTATATAGTGTTGCAGTACCATGACTGTGGTACTATACTTAATATAACAGGTGTCCTGACCATATAGTGTTGCAGTACCATGACTGTGGTACTAGACTATATAGTTTTGCAGTACCATGACTGTGGTACTATACTTAATATAAAAGGTGTCCTGACCATATAGTGTTGCAGTACTATGACTGTGGTACTAGACTATATAGTGTTGCAGTACCATGACTGTGGTACTAGACTATATAGTGTTGCAGTACCATGACTGTGGTACTAGACCATATAGTGTTGCAGTACCATGACTGTGGTACTAGACTATATAGTGTTGCAGTACCATGACTGTGATACTAGACTATATAGTGTTGCAGTACCATGACTGTGGTACTAGGCTATATAGTGTTGCAGTACCATGACTGTGGTACTAGACTATATAGTGTTGCAGTACCATGACTGTGGTACTAGACTATATAGTGTTGCAGTACCATGACTGTGGTACTAGACTATATAGTGTTTCAGTACCATGACTGTGTACTAGACTATATAGTGTTGCAGTACCATGACTGTGGTACTAGACTATATAGTGTTGCAGTACCATGACTGTGGTACTAGACTATATAGTGTTGCAGTATCATGACTGTGGTACTAGACTATATAGTGTTGCAGTACCATGACTGTGGTACTAGACTATATAGTGTTGCAGTACCATGACTGTGTTACTAGACTATATAGTGTTGCAGTACCATGACTGTGGTACTAGACTATATAGTGTTGCAGTACCATGACTGTGGTACTAGACTATATAGTGTTGCAGTACCATGACTGTGGTACTAGACTATATAGTGTTGCAGTACCATGACTGTGGTACTAGACTTAATATAACAGGTTGTCCTGACCATATAGTGTTGCAGTACCATGACTGTGGTACTAGACTATATAGTGTTGCAGTACCATGACTGTGGTACTAGACTATATAGTGTTGCAGTACCATGACTGTGGTACTAGACTATATAGTGTTGCAGTACCATGACTGTGGTACTAGACTATATAGTGTTGCAGTACCATGACTGTGGTACTAGACTATATAGTGTTGGAGTACCATGACTGTGGTACTAGACTATATAGTGTTGCAGTACCATGACTGTGGTACTATACTTAATATAACAGGTGTCCTGACCATATAGTGTTGCAGTACCATGACTGTGGTACTAGACTATATAGTGTTGCAGTACCATGACTGTGGTACTATACTTAATATAACAGGTGTCCTGACCATATAGTGTTGCAGTACCATGACTGTGGTACTAGACTATATAGTGTTGCAGTACCATGACTGTGGTACTAGACTATATAGTGTTGCAGTACCATGACTGTGGTACTAGACTATATAGTGTTGCAGTACCATGACTGTGGTACTAGAGTATATAGTGTTGCAGTACCATGACTGTGTTACTAGACTATATAGTGTTGCAGTACCATGACTGTGGTACTAGACTATATAGTGTTGCAGTACCATGACTGTGGTACTAGACTATATAGTGTTGCAGTACCATGACTGTGGTACTAGACTTAATATAACAGGTGTCCTGACCATATAGTGTTGCAGTACCATGACTGTGGTACTAGACTATATAGTGTTGCAGTACCATGACTGTGGTACTATACTTAATATAACAGGTGTCCTGACCATATAGTGTTGCAGTACCATGACTGTGGTACTAGACTATATAGTGTTGCAGTACCATGACTGTGGTACTAGACTATATAGTGTTGCAGTACCATGACTGTGGTACTAGACTATATAGTGTTGCAGTACCATGACTGTGGTACTAGAGTAGTGTTGCAGTACCACGACTGTGGTACTAGACCAAGTCATACTACAGAATTTGTATATCGCTGCTACAGTCTCTTTAGTATGTGTCTGTCACATACTACAGAAGTAACATAATTTATATTATTCATATTTAATACACAATCAGAATAAGGATGCCTCTTGTTTCGTGCAACAGAGGTGTATTAAGACCTGACAGCTGTATTGTCCGGCTCTGGGAGCATGATCATACACTGTACACAGTTTTAAGAGTAGGTATCATTCCCCGGCTACTCGGAAATTGGGAAATCTGGTTGATAAGAAGTGAAGGCGGGGCCATTACTTAACCCCTGTATTTGCAAGTATGCGAGTACTGTATATAAAACATGTTCGGATTGTTTTTAAGAATTGTTTGGTCTTCGGTAATTGTTTTGCAATTTTTAAATCTTCCTCCCTGTGCTCTATCTGAAGTCGATTCCTCTTTCTCCGGGTCTCAGAACAGGCTTTCTGGCTGGTCTCAGACCAGGCTTCCTGGCTGGTCTGATCACGCAGGTTGTAGAAGCAATTCTGGGTGAAAAAAAATCTTAAAAATAATGCTGCACTTACGCTGATAATTTAAAATTTAGATTCTGTTAGATTATTAGATGCTTTTGATTCATGCAATAATATAAAATTAAAGTTTTAAACGACAAGGTATGATGTGATGGGCGTGGAGCGAGTACCGTGGGTAGGGCAGGAGAGACGAGCCTTGAGCCGTGCCATGGCCAGCTTCCCACCAGCAGTAAGAACAGTGATGGCACAAGCACTCAGACCCCTCGACACGCTGAGTCTCGTCGACATACAAGATGGGTAAGTACCGTGTATATTTGTATCATTAAATATTCTTCATATGCTGAGTTTGATCAAGATCCAGACTGGGACAGTGACACACATATCTTACTGCATTTCTCCTTGATACTTGTACAATGCCAGCAATGGTAAACGAATTTACAACTCTTTAGCGGGAAATCACAATGACTGCACTCTGAAATAGGGGTGATGATGTTGTACATAAATGGTATACAATACCGACAAGATGAAAGTTAGACACATTTATGTGCTACATCTGGGTATCTTTACTGTAGACGTTTCGCCATCCAGTAGCTTTATCAATACAGATTTTAGGACATAACTTCAAGTTATGTCCAAGAATCTGTATTGATAAAGCCACTGGACGGCGAAACGTCTACAATAAAGATACCCAGATGTAGCACATGTGTCTGACTTTCATCAGGGGTAAGGATGTTCAGAAACTACACTCTAAAAAGAAAAGTCAGGATATTGTATTTCTGAAGGTAGGAAGTACTGTTTTGTAGATGAATGGTTCAGAGAACCGACATGTTGATAAATTAGACACATGTGCAACTCTTGGGTATCTTTATTGAGGAAACGTTTCGCCACACAGTGACTTCATCAGTCCATACGTAGGAGAAACTTGAAGAACAGGAGGAGAATGAGGTAATCAGTCCCTCAACCTTGAGTCGATGTGTTCAGTCCATCATCTACAAATCTGCCAGACACTGCAACTTCTTGGGATCTTAATACTTAGGAATTCTTCGCTTGCCTAATTCTTGGGCACGACCTACTTCCACATTGAACAAATGTGACACGACCTATGACTGCTGCACCTCTCCTGCCATTCGGTTTATAAGCTGCTTCTCCGCTGATATGCCGTATTCTATTCAAGATTGATGGACTGAACACATCGACTCAAGGTTGAGGGACTGATTACCTCATTCTCCTCCTGTTCTTCAAGTTTCTCCTACGTATGGACTGATGAAGCCACTGTGTGGCGAAACGTTTCCTCAATAAAGATACCCAAGAGTTGCACATGTGTCTAATTTATCAGGAAGTACTGTCAATGATAGAAGAAGGATGGGTGAGGATGTTACAGTTCTGGACTCAGAGTGGAGATGTTACAGGTATGGAGAGGGAAAGTACAGTGTTGTGTGAGGTCATTTATTAGACTCAGGTAGGTAGTATTCACAGATGCAGTTACCATATCAATTATCCCTATTGCATCCAGGCCTACCTCAGCGTCTGTGGTAGTCTCGAGCTCCTTGAATGCTTTGCAAGCTATCAAAAAATTTAATTCGCCTCATCCCCTAGTTCTTCATATACAACTTTGGTTGCGCCACATTTCGGCTTGGTCCCTGATCATGTTGGTGATCAGGGCAATGAGCAGGAAGATTGCTGTGCGATCATGTAGAGGTATTCTAATCTTTGATTATTTTTCTCCAGTCTCTAACTACTTTTTCAACCATTGGCAGCAATGTTGGTTTGAAATGATTCATAACAAATTAAACTCTAAAGCCATCATTAAGTTCCTGGTCTTCTTATCATCGATGTTGTGGTTGGGGGACTAGGTTTTCCCGTCTTCGCATTGGGCACACACGTCTCACTCATGGGTATCTCATGGAGAGGCACCCAGTTCTACTCTGTGCCAACTGTCATGTTCTAATTTCAGTTTGCTATATTCTTTTGGACTGTGCAGTCTATCAGTGAGCACACAGAATTTATCTTCGACGTCGTCACTGCTCTAACAACCTTACTTTATCTTCCCTCCTTGTTGACGGCCCCACCTTTGACAAAGACTCCCTCTTTGACTTTTTGACAGCAACAGATTTATAACACAACCTTTGATTATACCTCCTCTAGCACTCCTCACCGACTTTACAATCTCTACCCTGCAGCGCTGTATTACCCTGAGGGTTTAGTGCTTAGTTTTCATAATAATAATGAGCTTCCAGAACTTGAGTCAACATTTTCCGCTTGACGAAAGTCGGCAGCTGGACCTGACGGCATTCATATCACTATCTTCCATCATTTAGATACGTCAGCGACCGTAGTCCTTCGCAAGTTGATGAAACGTATACTAAATAAACGTTTCTTGGGGTATTTAGAAACACAATAGTCTTTCCACTTGTCAGTTTGGTTGTCTTAAGCACACCTTGCCCTGCATCGCTGTATGAGTTTACCGCTTAGTTCTGATAATAAAAGAAATGTTTCCACTATCAGTTATGTTGTTAACAAGTCAGTTAATAATATCCTACATCCCTGCCCCCGGAAACACACCCTCTTGACCTCATGAAGCTCTCTAGCAACAACATTCTTACCTTCACTAATATAGTCTTACGTTAACTGATAAATTTAAACTTTCATATGTAAAATGACAGGTAACTCACAAACTTCCTCTTATATCCAGTATGCAAGTGCCTCTTTCCCCTACGTTCTTCTTATTAATAGCTCCTAATCCTGTAATATTTATTTTTCAATTAAGGAAGCCTGTCTGCGACCGGGCCGTGGGGAAGATACTTATAACAGCTGCCAGATAAGAGATAAACACTCTTTGTCGCTCTACAACTATATATCCACAAAGATAGGATATTTGTATTAAAGTTGCTTTTGTCAGTGACTTTTTATTGTTATTAAGTTTGCTCTCCCTTCACACGGTGAGGGTCAGAGTTCGATTCCCGGTTTTCTATGTTCACCCATAAGTAAAGTGCGTACCTGGGTATTAGTCGACTGGTATAGGTCACATCCTAGGACAAAATTCACCTAATTTGCCCGAAATGCTCTGCATAACAAGAGGCTTTCTATATAGTGCTAAGTCATTGATGTCAGCTATGCCTGTATACCTTGTACATGTGGTTTAGAAAGACACGTAAGCAAACACTCTGACATATTTATTAGAAAACGTTTCGATTATGGGACCTTGATCACTTCTAACATACAGAGGTAGAAAGACATTATATATATAGGCGGAGAGTGAAGTGTGAGTGATGCATGGGATGAGGACGGGTAGACGATGAAATCATGTGACTCCTGTGTTGTTGGGTTGGTGGTGCTTAAGTATCATGTATGCTAATGTTTTTGAAATTTTGTGGTTTCCAGTGTTACGTTCTATAGTGTCGGTGACGGCGATTAGTGAGGCTTCTAGGCACCGTCGGCGTCTGAGGTCTGGTTCGGTGAGAGCAAGTTGTGCCTCATTCCAGTTCATCAAATGCCCTGTGGAGGACACAGGCGTACCTTACATCGTCTCTGTTAGAGGCATTTCGATGCTCATTCAGGTGGACTGCAAGATCTCTGCCTGTCTCGCCTACATATATCTTGGGACAGAATCCACAGGGGATAGTTTAGACGCCTGCTGTAGAAGTTAGAGGTGTGGGGCTGTGTCACTTACAGAGGTAGAAATACATTATATATATAGGCGGACAGTGAGGTGTGAGTGAGGTGTTCTGAAGCCAGTTTGGCTTCAGAGCACACAGATCCACACAGGATGCCATTAACATCATTCTCAACTACATTCACATAAACACAAAGCAAAGAAACAGGACAGCCCTGGTTGCAAAAGATGTTGAAAAAGCTTTTGACACTGGCACGAAGGGCTCAAGTACAAACTCTGCACTAACTTCAACCTGCCTCTCACTACTCGTAAACTTCTCTGCAACTTCCTAGACGGCCGTACCATGAGAATCTAATTCCAAGGCTGTTACTCTGACTACTTCACACTAAATGCTGGAGTACCCCAGGGATCTGTCCTCTCCCCTACCCTCTACATTTTATACACTAACGACATTCCAACACTTGTATACCACAACTCCATCACACTAGCCTATGCAGACATTACACAACTTATCACTCATGCCAATATAGATACACTCACACACAAAACACAAAATGAGGTCGACAGGATAGCCATCTGGGAACAAAAATGGAGGATCAAAACCAATGCAGCTAAATCCAGCATTACATATTTTAACTACAGGAAACGTGATCCTCCATTACCTGTCGAGCTCAGAACAGCTGACACCCGCATTTACATCCCCATCACACAATTTGTCACTGTCCTTGGCGTTAATCTTGACTACCTTCTTCGTTTACACATTCACTCAAGGCATGCAATAGCTAGTAAGGCCCTTGCGGGCCTCTACAAGCTGAAACAAGCCTCTCAACGCACCAAACTAAACCTCTACAAATCCCTAATATGTCCTTTGATAACGTACTCTCCTCTAGCCCTCTCTTTTGCAGCAAAAACAAACTTACTTAAACTGCAGCGTGTCCAGAACAAGGCGCTGCGCTGGGTGCTTGATGTCAGATGGGAGGTCTTCGCCACAAGCGAGTCTCTTCATGCCCAATTAGACATCCCTGCGCTGAATCTGTACTGGAAAACACTCAGTGACAGACAGATAGACAAACTTGAGACACGACGTGACTACTGGACCTCTCTCCTTGACGAAGACATTCGCAAACCCACAAACCAACACAACCTTTTCTACTCCTTGTATGATCCTGCTCCTAACCCTATTTACAAATAACCTTGGATTCTCTGACAGGTACCATTCTCTGACCCATGTTCGCCTTAGCTTTAGGGTTAAGACATGGCTCAAATTCTACACTCCTCTCCTGCGCTAATCTTCGCCCGTCCCGTCCTCCCTGCTCACCACACCGGAGTCCCAACAGAAGAGCCTGAATTTCTCTTATCAATATCTGTCCCATGATCGCCTTCGCTGCTGAGTTAAGCCCTGGCTCTATTTCTACGACTAAGAACACTCCTCTCCAGCGCTATTCTTCGTCTGTCCCGTCTTCCCCGCTCATCCTATTTGGGATCTTACCTGAACTTTCGTTCGTTCGTTCGTTCGTGTATGTTAGAAGTGATCAAGGTCCCAGGACCGAAACGTTTTCTAATAAATATGTCATAGAGTTTGCTTACGTGTCTTTCTAAACCAACTTGTCGGTATTTATTACCAAGGTTTATACCACCTTGTACATGTACTAATAAAAGAAAGATATTATTATTATTATTGTTATTATTATTATTATTATTATTATTATTATTATTATTATTATTATTATTAAATGTGGGAGTTAAAATGATTGGATTTGTTAGGAACTTGCCAAGACTGGGCAGTTGGCCTACTGAAGTGTTTTTCCACTCTTATGTTCTTCAGATTTTTTGTAGTTAAGTACGCCGTGTATTACAGAGGCGGGGGCGTGGGTGTAGGAGAGGGCGTGGAGCTCAGCGTGTTGATCACCAGGTGGCGTGCAGCAGCCAGGACGGGACGGGCCCAGCTACGTAGTACGTGGTTCCCCACGTCTCTCTCTGCCATCCGCGAGGCCGCCTTAGCCACCAACCTCTCGCCCTCCCGCAGACACACTGTCATGCACGCCTTCAATAACCTGTTAGCGTCTAAGGTGAGCTACATCCAAGTTGAGATTTTTGTGTTTCATATCGAGGTCCTTGTATCAGAGGTGAGATTTTGGAATGTAAGTACTCATGAATAAAACACAATGGTAGGCCTACTGGAGAAAAATAGTATACAAACCCAAAAGATGGAAAAATTAACATAAATGAAGCATAATGTGAACCTTTTTTTTAACTAAATTTCATCCACACAGTTGGCTTTATCAACTTACAAGCAGATCTACCTGGGTAAAGAGTACAAGAGTATATATATAGGGTGGAGAATGTTGGCCAGGATGGATTTGAGACAGACCTGCCCGGGACGGGCGCGTGTTTATGTTGTTATGTAGGATAATAAAATATTGCAGATGAATGGTTCAGAGAACCGACACGTTGTTAAATTAGACACATGTGCTGGGATGGGGGATATTGTTAGCTGTCTGGACGACATCATGAAAGGTAATGGGAGCAATCCTATTATCTGCCTCAGTGCGGGAGGCAATGATGTTGGCAGACGTAGGAGTGAGGACCTTATTAGCAAGTATAGGTCAGCAATAGAGATAATTAGGAAGAAGGGTGGGAACCCTGTCATATGTGGTATTTTGCCAAGGAGAGGAGTTGGAAATGAATGGTTGTCTAGGACAATTGGTGTCAATTGCTGGCTGGACAAATACTGTAAGGAGAATGCTGTAACATTCATTGACAACTGGGACCTCTTCTATGGCAGAAATGACATGTATGCCAGGGATGGGGTTCACTTATCTAGGTCTGGGGTGGGGGCACTGGCAACGTCAGTGGAGGGAGCTGTTAGGGCTTTAAACTAGGAGTATATAGTGGTATGGGTTTTGACGAAGGCCCAGTGTAGTAATACTATGAGTTATAGGGGAATTAGTAATAGGCAGACTGAGGTGGATATTGGAAAGCCAATGGCACTAGGCGACAAGGACAGTAATAGGTTTAGTGAAAAAAACAGATATGAGCAGGAAGGGTAAAGAGAAAGGAGGGTCTTTAAAATTATATTATGCTAATAGCCGTAGTGCTAGGAATAAGATGGATAAGTTGAGATTAGTTGCTGGTGGAGGTAAGATTGATGTATTTGCAATCACTGAGACATGGTTTAATTCCAAAGGTCGGGACATGCCTTCGGAATGTCACATTCAGGGTTTTAAATTGTTCTAAGCAAATAGAAATATCGGTAAGGGATGTGGGGTGGCACTGTATGTCCGAGATCACTTGAACTGTTGCATAAAAACGGATATTAAGTCTGAGGTATCACATACAGAGTCTGTCTGGATAGAATTTTCAGAGGGGCATAAAAAATTTATTCTAGGAGTGATATACCGTCCCCCAAACTTAGATAGAGACCAAAGGAAATTACTGTGGGAGGAAATTGTTAAGGCCACAAGGCACGATAACGTAGTAATTCTAGGGGACTTTAACTTTAGTCACATTGATTGAAATTTCTTGACTGGGAATTTAGAATCGAATGACTTCTTAGAAGTAGTTCAGGAATGTTTTTTGAAGCAGTTTGTGACAGAACCTACAAGGGGAAATAACCTTCTTAATTTTGTTCTGGCGAACAAGGAAACCCTTGTTAATAATTTAGAAATTAATGAGGAACTCGGCACAAGCGATCACAAATCAATTACCTTTAGCATAGAATGGAAGTATAATAGTAGGGATAACTCAGTAACAGTTCCAGATTTTCGCTTAGCAGATTACAATGGGCTTAGAGAACACTTATCATCTGTTGACTGGGGTAACGAAGAGAGCTATCAATATGACAGTTTTCTGAACACTATACATGCTGCTCAAAGAACGTTTATCCCGTATAAAGAAATTAGATCAAATAGAAATAACCCAAAATGGATGAATAATAGGCTGAAATATCTACTAGGGCATAAGAAAGGAATTTATAGGCATATCAAAAGAAGTGAGGGTCATCTTATGAATCAGTATATTGACATTAAGAGGGACGTTAAAAAGGGGATAAGAAAAGCTAAAAGGGACTATGAAATTAAAGTTGCTAGGGATTCGAAAACTAACCCAAAAAGTTTTTTCCAGGTCAATAGAACAAAAGTTAGAGATAAGATAGGTCCCCTTAAAAATAACTATGGGCATCTTACTGACAAAGAGAATGAAATGTGCTCGATTTTAAATAATTATTTTCTCTCGGTTTTTACACAGGAAGACACTAACAATATTCCAGTAATTAATTTTTATAGTGGGCCTGAAGAAGATAAATTATGTAACATCACAGTCACTAGTAAAATGGTTATGAAACAAATAGACCGACTGAAGCAAAATAAGTCGCCGGGTCCTGATGAGCTTTTCTCGAGGGTTCTTAAGGAATGCAAAATGGAACTCTGTGAACCATTAACTAATATTTTTAATTTATCTCTTCAAACAGGTATAGTGCTGATATGTGGAAGATGGCTAATGTAATTCCTATTTTTAAAGCAGGGAACAAGTCGTTACCGTCAAATTACCGCCAAATAAGCCTGTCCTCAATTGTAGGCAAATTACTAGAGTCAATTATAGCTGAGATTATAAGAAGCCATCTCAATAAGCATAGCTTGATTAATGATACTCAGCATGGATTCACGATAGGCCGTTCTTGTCTAACTGATTTATTAACTTTCTTCAGTAAAGCTTTTGAGGCTGTTGATCACGATAAAGAATTTGATATTATTTACTTAGATTTTAGTAAGGCTTTTGATAGAGTTCCGCACCAAAGACTGTTAAAGAAAGTGGCAGCTCATGGCATTGGGGAAAAGTGCTCTCGTGGATCGAGTCATGGCTCACTGACAGGAAGCAGAGAGTGTCCATAAATGGGGTTAAATCCGAGTGGGGATCTGTAACAAGTGGCGTTCCACAGGGATCAGTCTTGGGCCCGTTGTTGTTCATAATATATATCAGTGATCTTGATGAGGGAATTACTAGTGAAATGAGCAAATTCGCCGATGACACAAAGATAGGTAGGATAATTGACTCAAACGTAGATGTTAGGGAACTTCAGAAGGATTTAGACAAACTCAATACCTGGTCAGCAAAGTGGCAGATGCAGTTCAATGTAGATAAATGCAAGGTTCTGAAGCTCGGGAATGTCCATAACCCTAGCACTTATAAGTTAAATAATGGAGCATATGGGAATCTTTATTCAAGAAACGTTTCGCCACACAGTGGCTTCATCAGTCCAATACAAAGAGGAAGGCGTAAGGAGAGGAGGAGTATGAGGTAATCAGTCCCTCAGCCTGGAGTCGATGTGTTCAGTCCATCAATCTTGTAGAATGTACAGCATAGGGCCGTAGACGTGGCTTATATACTGTAGTGAGGTGAGATGAAGCAGGCGGAGGCGGGGTCATAGTGGTACCATCCACTAGTCGAAGTAGGTCTTCGTCCAAAGGTTGAACAAGTGTTGAAGAATTCTTTGTAACAAGATCCCATGATGCTGCCTTCCTCTTTGTATTGGACTGATGAAGCCACTGTGTGGCGAAACGTTTCCTGAATAAAGATTCCCATATGCTCCATAAGTGTCTCAATCTTCAACTTGTCGGTTTTTCAAACCATTCATCACAAGTTAAATAATGTAAAACTTAGCCATACAGATTGTGAAAAGGACTTGGGGGTAATGGTGAGCAGTTACCTTAAACCAAGACAACAATGCCTAAGCGTACGTAATAGGGCAAATAGATTATTGGGATTTATATCAAGAAGTGTAAGCAACAGAAGTCCAGAGGTCATACTGCAGCTTTATACATCATTAGTAAGGCCTCACCTAGATTATGCAGCTCAGAATAGACATAAATTCGTTAGAAAACATTCAGCATAGAATGACTAAATTAATACATAGCATTAGAAATCTTCCTTATGAAGAAAGATTGAAGACTCTTAAATTACATTCACTTGTTAGACGAAGAATGAGGGGAGACCTGATCGAAGTGTATAAGTGGAAAATAGGTATTAATTTGTAGATGAATGGTTCAGAGAACCGACATGTTGATAAGTTAGACACATGTGCAACTCTTGGGTATCTTTATTGAGGAAACGTTTCGCCACACAGTGGCTTCATCAGTCCATACGTAGGAGAAACTTGAAGAACAGGAGGAGAATTAACTGGGAATGCAAGAATAATGATAATACAGTAAAAATCCCTGATTTCCGTTCTGCCGATTATAATGGACTTGGGGAACACCTGTTTAATCTTGATTGGGGTTATCTAGCTAATGATTTTATTGACAATGATCATACTTATAATTATGAAGGGATCTGCTTTTATGATTTTTTTCTTAATAATGTACACCGTGCCCAGAGTATATACATTCCCCAGAGAGAAATTAGGTCTAATAATAACGATCCCAAATGGGTTAATAGTAGGCTAAAGTATCTATTAGGGGAGAAAAGGGGAATTTATAGGCGCATCAGAAGAGGAGAGGTTAACCTTGGAAGTAAATGGTATAAAATACCGACACAATGGAAATATAAACACATATGCAGTATAATGTGATCCTTTATTGACAACGTTTCGCCCACGCAGTGGGCTTTTTCAAGTCACAACACCCAGAGAAGACACTGCCGAGAAGAGATACATAGTCCTCCCCACCAACTCCATTTCCACACACATTTCCAACATCTTTTCCAATACCTCATTCCAAGTATCTACCTCCACAACCACGACCATCAAGGACATTACCAGTAATAAACAGGACAAGCTTCCATCTTCTGCAGGGGTATACATAATCCCTTGTAATGACTGCAGCAAATTATACGTGGGCGAAACATCAAGGGACCTCCAAACACGTATTTCAGAACACCAGTACGCAAGCAGGTCTGACGATACAAGGAATGCCTGTGTACAACACCGTAATTCACAAAACCACTTAATAAACTACAGAAACTCAAGACTTATCGCCACAGAAGACAACACTCAATACCGAAGAATCCTGGAATCAACGCTTATCTCTGTATCCGATAACTTCAACCAGAATAATGGCTTCTACAACATAGCTGA